AATTTTGTTTATATTTTTCCGGAACCCCATTAGTGCTTTTTTGGTAGTGTCCGATACTCTCATAGCTGCTAAGAACACTTTCTTTTACAGTCTTGAAGGCCTTTGGTCACTGGGCATCCTGCTAATGCAGAAGCCATGGGTCCACAGAGGAGGGGTCAGGGACCTTATCTTGAGCTGCAACAAGGTAATCTGGGATCTCTCCAGTGGGAGACCGTGAGAATGCATAGTAGCTGCGAGAAATATTGATTACTTTTTTATTTTAGAATTCCTAACACAGGTCCTGGTCGCTGAGCAGACCAGGGATAACGGAAGTGCGGATTTCGTCCTGTCAGCGGCCTATTTTCCAGGAGACGCGCATACTTCGCTCACCGAGCCAGTGCAGGGCCTGGTGAACTACTGCGGGAAGAACAGACCTCACCTGGTCTTGGACTGCAATGCACGAGATGAGTCTCTCCATGAATTTATTATTAGTAATAATATTATATAAGTATTGAGAATGTAGCATGCGAACCTACATTCGACACTAGTAAGAGGAGGGAAGGATTGGACATCACCATAAGTATCGAACTCATGTGGAGGGGTGGTCTCACAGTGGAGAGTGTCGCCAGAACATGCACATTCTTTGGAAAATTAACAAAGGATTAATCGGGACAAACTCGTTTTCTATACGAATGCCTGTACTCATAATACCAAGTGATTTTACTCTGTTATTATGTTTAAATTTTACAGTATGGAAATCACTGCCAATGATGACTTAGACTAAATACTTCTATTGAGCTCAGCTGGGGCCAGATGTTTCGTAGAAGGGAAAGAAGAGGCTTGACACAGAAGGTACGCATTCCTTTATACCTGTGGAGACATAGCAGACTAGCTAGACATGGTAGGCTAGTAGTTAGTTAGGTTTTCATTCTATGGAACAATATCTAACCTTCATATAATTTTTATAATTTACAAATCACAATATGAGCAATTTAAAGTAAATATTCCACGTTTGTGTGGATGTATAATGGTTTACGGTGCTCGTACGCCGAAACTATTGATTTTAGGAAAGAAAGGAACATAAATTGTAGAAAATTTCCTCTACCTTTAATTTGTATAGATATGTTTTTCCTGTAAAAAGAGCCGGAAAGAAGTTATTTATGAAAACAAAAAACTGCTTTTGGCGCCATTTTTTCAATGCGGTGCGAGGTGGTAAAGTTGAAATTTCAAAACTCCCGGAAAATTCCATAACAAAAAATTATATCCGCACAAGTAAGAATATTTTTAATTATTACTTAACTTTTTATTATCTTATATATATATATTTTGTTTTTGGGAGAAAATGGAGAATCAAATAAAATTAGCAGAAGAACTGCAAAAATCCATGAGTATGGATATAAATGAAGAAGTGAGAAATTTAGAGACTCCAAGATAGTTTGGACAAAAACAGATCAGAGTTTCAACGAAAAAAAATAGAATTGTCCAAAAATAAAAAAGATAACTATTTTAAAAATTATGTTGAAAGGACGGTTGGTACGCTTTATTTGACAGCGTTCGCCAAGTTAAGTGAATTTATAATTCAGAGAAAATAGTGCTCACAGGAAAATGGAATGCTTTTCAAATCTTGGTTTAGTTCCCAGGCTTCAATTCTTATTAACAGAATTAGAAAAAATTATTGCAGACTGTAAAATAAAGGAAATATGCTCTCTAGATAGCATAGAGAGACTATAGAAAAAACTCGTGATACTGCGCTTGAATTTATTAACCAGCGGTTAATAGGTTAACCAGCAAATACTTATTTCAAAAAAATTTTAGATGCACCAGAAGTGACTGAGACCGCTTTTAGTGTACGAAAATTTCAAGACAATATTTTCCACAGTACACAAGTATTGGAAAGCCTCAGTTTGTCTGCAAATAATTTTTACAAGCTTTATTAAACTATAAGCTTGTGCCATGTCAAGGAAACCATCATTTATGGCTCCACAAAGACAAATCCTTTAAAGCAAAAAGCACAGTAATCAAAAATGCGAAAAATGGGAGATTAAAAAGTGATTCTAAACATGTCCTACTAACCACAGCAATTGTTAGTATAAAAGGCCGTGATGACAGAATAATAAAGGCACGTGCCTTATTAGATAATGGGTCTCAAGTTCACCTTATAACCAAAGAACTTGAAGGGGTTGGACAAAACAAGATCAATACAAAAGAAGGGTTAATCTTCAATTAAAATCAATAATAAATCCTTTTGAAACAAATTTAGATACAACTGTAGTACAAAAGATTGTATCTCATGTTCCTACAAAATACATTAAAGTTAAAAAAATTCCAGAGCATATAAAACTGGCCGGCCCTTCATTTAATGTTCCAGGTAAAATTGATTCACTAAAATCAGCTTGATTTGTTATAAAAAGAAAAAATACCGATTGAAAATCTTAATTACAAACTCCAGAACAGTGTGTTTGGGTGGTTGATATATGGATCAACTAATATAAGCTCCAATTTAGACATGGAGATAAATTATTACCCAGAAGTAGCAGAAATTATCAATGTAGATTTTTATATGGATGATCTTATGACAGGAGGAGATAATCTAGATGATGTCAAGTTTACAAAAAAAAAATATGGATTCAACCCTAGAAAATGGTGTTACAATAACATTGAACTTTTTAAAAATATACCTCATGACGACAGATAAAATCAACTTGACTTAAACAAGGAAAATAACAACGAAGTTAAAGCATTGGGTGGCAATTGGGCTCCATTTGACGACCATTTTCATATAACTTCGATTTGGAAGTGCAACGAGAAGATTGAAAAGTCGTCACAGAAAAGCGAGCTCCCATTGTTAAATCAAATACGAATATCCAGACGCATTATATGCAATGAATCGGTAAATACTGAGTGACATGGATTTGGTGAAGCTTCTATGAAATGGTATGGGGCCTAAGTTTATGAAAAATCTGAAAACCAAACAGACGAAACTTATGTAAATATACTTTCAGCTAAATCACGAGTCGCGCCAATAAAGGTAATAACAATTTAATTATTCGAACAATTCTATTGAACCAAAACCATAAAAGTGGTTTTGAAGTCATACAAAACGCTATAGTTAACATATTTAAATTTATAGATATCGTTAGTAAAAAACCATTAATGAATGAAAGTTATTATAAACGAAAAGCATTCAATTATATGTCCGTCAAGTACACAAAAAATATGTGGAATAAAACTAATTAATTCAAATAAACAAATTCCAAAAAATTCCAAGCTAGTTACTGTTGCTCCAATTGTAGACAACAATAATATTAAGAATAGAAGTATATACTATATATATTCTGGCCTAGGCAACACTAAGTGTTGCCAGGTGCAATCTGACATTTCCATTGGAAAGTTTGACATTTTTTNTCACTCAGAACGTTTTGTCATTTAATCGTGAATTGTTTTATTTACAGGGAATTAAAAAATTCATCTCGGCGAAAAAGTGGAATTAACTCGTGAACATTTTCGTGCGATCATTTTTCACAACTTTCGACGTGGATTATCACGACAAGAGTGCATCGATGAACTAAAATCTTTGTATGGCTATGAAGCACCATCCTATAGCACTGGGAAAAACTGGTACAACGAATTCAATCGTGGCCGACGCTCGCTCAAAGACGAATTCAGTGAAGATCGTCCAAAAAACAGCCGTTGTGCCAGAAAACATCGATGACGTAAGTGAACTGATAATGCAAGACCGTCATGTAACATACCTTCAGATAGAGGCATGCCTATGCATTTCTCGTTGGATCCCGCACAATTTGACAATCGCTCAAAAAAAAAGGCTCGTGTGGATTGGTGTAAAGAAATGCTGRAAAAATACGATCGCGGTGCTTCAAAAGACGTTTATAAGATCGTCACAAGTGACGAATCATGGATATATGCGTATGAGCCCGAAACAAAACAGCAATCGACCGTGTGGGTCTTCCAAGACGAGCCAAATCCAACGAAAGTTGTTCGTGGAAGAAGCACTTCGAGCAAAGGGTCGCCTGTTCCTTCGGCAAAACTGGTCATGTGGCGACTGTTCCGCTTGAGCAACGTAGGATGGTCAATTCTGAGTGGTACACGACCATTTGTTTGCCTGAAGTCTTCGGAGAAATTTGAAAAGGAACAAGAGAAGACGAATCATTGTGCACCATGACAATGCGAGCTCTCACACATCGGCTCAAACCAGCGCCTTTTGACCAGCCAGAACGTCGAATTGATAGGTCATCCGCCGTACAGCCCTGACTTGGCACCCAATGACTTCTTTTTATTCCCACACATCAAGAAAATAATGCGTGGTCAACGATTGTCGTCGCCAGAAGATGCTGTTGAAGCATTCAAAAACCATGTTTTGGAGGTGCCTCAATCAGAGTGGAAAAAGTGCTTCGAAAATGGGTTTGAGCACATGCAAAAGTGTATAAATCTTGATGGAGAATATTTTGAAAAATAATAAAACCATTTTCATTGATAAATATTCCTATTTTCATTATTAGGCCAGAAATATATATATATAGATTCAAAGTAGCAGTCTCTCAGAAGATGCTAAGTATCCCATACTTCTCTGTTATGAAGATGGAAACGGCATTTTAAGCCAAGATGGCAAATGTAGGAACTGCAGACGTAAGAATAATCAACGGCGCATCGTAGAGAGCGATGCACAATGTTTATCCTTTTCCTACTGAAAAAAATGCAAATATTCAACAAAGAAAAATAAAAAATGTATATTACTTTGTTAAGCTTACTTAGAGTTTTACCATGTTTATAATAATATAAAATATTTAAAAATAGTTGTGGAGTATTTTTTGAAAAAAGGGCATCTGTTGAGTTGACCAGGACAGCGTGAGATATAATTGTCCACATCAATTTATTTCAATACTCATTTGAAAAGCACCAAATTTCAAATTCACCAAAACATTTGAAATACTCAACGGTATTTAAAGAGGATTAAGTGAACTCAATGATTCACGACGTGACTATATTACTACTCCTTCTATGACATGCTGAATGAAGAATACTTATGTTGTATTGAACAGACCTTACTGTTCTCAGATTGTCAGCTCTTGAACTTGAATCTCGATAATGGTGGTAATTTGACAAACTTAGTGCATGAAAAGTTCACACAGTACCTGAAGGCCATTAAGGGTTTGAGCGAAGAAACCATAACCGGTGTATACAATTTATATATAATATCGGTGACCAAGAGTAAATTCTATAATCTGTATGGTTGTCGCGGGTCGCTAATTGATGGTATTAAACAGCCCACCGATATGATGATTGCTGGCAAAGAGTGCTGTGTTGCTGGTTTTGATATTGACAAAAGTTGTGCCGTTATTGTTACCGAAATGTTTGTACCGAAATGTTTGTAATATTGGTAATTTCGATTGTGAAATCGACGTCACATGTTTGAATGCCATTGCCAATACCCCAATGGTAATCATATTATTTTGTTGGCCAAAGGACGTCTGGTAAATTTGGGCTTCGCGTACGGTCATCGTATCTTAAGATGTTCAACTCGTCCAGAAATCAAGTGGTGACACAAATCGAATTGTTGACCAAGGCTGACATATACAACGCAGATGTGCCTCTGCTGAAGAAAATACTCGATGAAGAGATCGCCAGTCTACACTTGGAGAAATTAGGCATACGATCTGAAAAGTTCCGTAATTAAATTCGAAACACTTGGTTTTAGAATAACATCATATTATGCATTACGGCATGAATACTGACAACCTAATCCTACGGATGGTGCAATCATCGTAACAATTGTCCTACGACAGGAGGTACGGTAGGAGGATATATCTTACGAAAATAATTATTAATATTAATAAATGAAAATTGTATTAAAAATTTAAAACTTAGTAAAATAAAAAATAGCTTATATTAGAAAAATTATTACGAGTTCGATCCGTCAATTTTGTAAAGAAAAACGTAATTAAAATGCCCAAGATTTATAAAAACTTGAATTATTTTGAAGAGTAAACACTTCAACGTGGGCAATATGTTCCGATTTCTGAACTGAAACATCTCAAGAGGTGTCAAAATGATTTGTTCAGATTTCTGAAAAAGAAATTCTGGTAAATCTGTATAGAAACAGATATCATGTTAAAAATATTTACATTCATTATCGCCAGCACATACGAATTTAGTCTCAAGATATAGATATGTATTTACAAATACACATTTCTATCAACAGTGTAATAAATGTTCATTTTGGGTATATTGATTAGAGACTGTCTTATGTAATATATGCAATGTAAAGGATCGCAAATTATCCTAAAATAATAAAAGATAAGAAGTAATTTTGTATGCCGTTGAGAACACTTATGCTTAAGATATGTGTACATACTGTCGTTATATATAGTAGATTAATATTAAGATATGTGTATGTGCTCTGCATGTGGTGCATACATAAATTAGGATAAGAAAATCTATAAATAATTTAGCTCTGGGCAACCAGAGCTGAGTACTTTTTTATACGGAAAATGAAACCGTTGTTACTTAACATGATTTTTCCCGTGTAAATTTGGGTAATATATACATTAAACATATAAGGGGCGGTGCCACGCCCACTAAATTGTTCAACAACAGGTACCTCGTGTTATTGGTTTTAATTGAACCAAATTACACTTATGTATCTTAATTTTGCGCTAATTATGGCAATTTACGGGTTTTCAATTTATGACCCGATTACGCCTAAGTTTCACCAAGATATCTAAATTTTTACTCAAGTTACTAGTTGCAGACACGGCCGAGCAGGCAGACAGTCACTCGGATTTCAACTCGCCTCATTATCTTGATAATTTATACATTTTTATGTATATAACCCCATATCTAATTCAAATATTTTTAGATGACACAAACAACTGTCAGGCGAACAAAACTATTATATCTCTGTAGCAACATGTTGCATAAGAATAAATATTAAACAAATACTAGCAAAGCATTTCGCAACAATGACTGTTAAACGATTTTAAATTAATTTTTGTATCAATAGAAAAAAAAAAACATGGTAGGGCAATTCAGAATCTTGTGCATCTGAGTTTGCATAATTATGTAATTGCAAATATTTACCATCAACAATGAACGTATTTTTTGTGGTTTCTGTGCGACCCTTGCAAAGAACATTAATTCACAGCTGATTGGTTAAGAAAAACCTTGTTTGTAAACAAAATTGAAAAATATGCCGAAAAAAATTTTTAGGAAAAATTAACTGACGCTTTATTTGATGAAGCTGCTGAAGAAATTATGGACATTTAAAGGACGAAATATTTTTATGGGGCACATATTTCGCTTTAACTTTTGGAGCTTCCTGCAAGAAATACAGTATACTCTGGATTTCTTTTTGGCTCCACTTTTTATTCGGCTTTTCGTGTTTTGGCCTTATTTTATTCAAACCGGTTTGCTCCATTTCTTCTCTTTGTTTACAATGTTTCTTATTTTTGACAGCAGCTGATAATTTGCAAACCACCCTGCAAATAATACAATGGCGTTTTAGTTTTGCTTATTTGCAAGGGGGTAGCAGGAGCATCGCTACACATTTTGCTAGTGTAAAAGCAAAAATATGCTCACTAATTTGCAATTGCAAAGATGCAGAACTATTTGCACCAGATTCTGAATTTCCCTAGTATAACAAAAAAATTACTCTACAACCCACATTTTAATTGTTAATTTAGGAATAATCTATAAAACTATATTTTACTCTTAGAAATCATTTTGCGCACAATAAGAACACTTCTAACGTAATATAAGCTAATTCACCTTAACATATTTATTAATTAATAATATTCCTATTTTTATACTCTTGCAACCAGTTGCTATAGAGTATTATAGTTTTGTTCACCTAACGGTTGTACGTATCACCTAAAACTAATCGAGATAGTATGACAAGGCTTCATAGGGACCGGGATAAAAATTGGACAATAGGCGTAGTACCGTGGCGGATAATAACCACAATAGCACAAGTTTAAATTTCACTTGATTCGTTCATTTTCCAGTACACAAATCAAGAAGCAATTAATATAATGGGATTAAACTTTGCCTAAATAATATATTTAATGTGTGCCACTTTATGACAAAAAATTGTTCAAATCGAATTTAAACTGTTCAACACCCTAGGTGCCGAATATGTGGGCCCCAGTACTTACAGTTGACTTTTGATCGAAAATATCGATCGTTGTGTGAGATATGCAATGGAAATTCAGACAGAATCCTTTTCTTGCAGTAGTTATACTGTGTATCCAAAATTAATGGTATTTGAGTTATCTCAATGAAAATATCAAAACGAATTTTATTCATAACAATATATCAATGTGCCTAAAATGGATACAATTGGGCGAAAACTTGAGCTAGCTCCCATATAACTAAGATATTCAAACCTCCCGCTTATTTTGTACAATGACTATGTATACAAATTTTGGTTTTTCTATCAAATCTTATGCCGAATATATACGTAGGTCAGTGTATAAGATATACAGTTGTGTTCATGAAAATAGTAGTGCACCAGCTTCTTATATTTAAAAATTTTCCTAACATTATCTGACTTACCAAGCCTACAAGAGTGATTATTTTGGAATTGAATTGATTTAAATGTAACAATGTAAAAATTCTGTAACATTTGCTTCTACTGCCTTTCTATGTCGATTTTTATATTTTCTAGATAAGATAAGATAAGATAAAGAATGAGGATTGCACCGCGACCTAGGGTCTATTGTGCCCTCTAC